GACAGTGAGAACAGGGCTTTACACTAAAAGGGGTAGCAAACAGCAACTACATTTGGGCTCTACCGTCTAATAAAATCAATTCATCTGTGATCATTCTTTCTCGAATGACTAAAGCGGGAAATTTTAAACAACACACAAATTTTAATTAAATAAATCTGGAAAAACGAAATTTTGGCTACAGGTCCCCCAATTTTCATCTTTTCCCAGTTTGATATCTCATAACAAGAATTTTTTGTAAAGAAAATGCTAGAGTTTTCAAATGAACTAATGTATGTATGTTGTTAATGCTCTTTGCTTGTAAATAAAGGTAGAACTCTTAGCCTCTTGAATATTTAAAAAAACACTGAGAGAGAGGACCACAGAAAAGGGGGACACACCACAACACACAGAGAGAGAGAGGGAGAGCAAAGAATGAGAAACAATACAAACAATAGGGTGCAAACTTAATTTTGGAAGTGTGTAGTGAGGTAGTGTATCTTTTCGCAGCAGCCGTCCATCATTAGGAGGCCCCCAGGTGCGCACCCACCGTGTTTTCCGTATTTTTAAACTAAAAACCTTGAGTAAGCCCTTCGCTGCAGTCACCCATCTTTAGCCCTCCCGGGGACGCTCAGCCCAGGGGTAAAGAAGTATATCTTTTGCTCATTATATTTATAGAGGCTAAACATCGCTTGGGAATGAAGACGATTCAGGTAATCAGGTTTTATCCGAGGAAGTCAACGGTGGCTCCAGTTCCTCTGATAAATCGCTCTTCGCATTTTTTTTAAGACTATTTAAGCGATGCAGTGGAAAGAGGTGCAAGAACTTAGTTTAGGGTTTCACTCTTAACTTATTAAACGCAAATTTTATAAGTATGATCTAAACACAGCTGACCTCCCATTGTGCACTAGTATTGTTAAGATATATTAGAGCCCGTTACCTAACACTGCACTCATGGCCCGAATGCCCTTTTAACGCATTCCATTTCTAAACTCCGGGAGTGAGCCCAGAAGGAAAACTCGCCTTGGGTCTTGAATCTGTTTTGTTGTGACGCTTTCCCCTACGTAGGGGGAATTAGTTCTTCCCACACAGGGACAGTCGATTTCCCCCCAGCAGGAACAGCTGATTTTTTCCCTACCGCAGGGGACAGACTCATGAACCCCCAAATTTTATCTATTAAAAAATTTAACGCACATAATTGATGCGCAAGGAAAGAAAAACTGTAAGGTAACCCAACTAAACGATAAGTCTGTTATACCGTATATTTAGAATAAACTGAAAATATAAAACTACAAGAAAAGTTCCGAGTGAGATGAATTGTCATACTGGCTGTGGTATCAGAGTTGGGGGCGAGCTGCTAGAGTTGGATCAATTATTGATAACAACGTCCCTGAAGTGTTTAGGAGGCAGCGAGGGTAGGACTACTACTGCCACTATCTACAGGAGCTGTCCATCACAGGTGTAGGGCTCAGCTGTTGTAAGAAACACACGATAATAAGACAAAACATTTACTGGAACCAGGCGAACCGAGATGTCACGCTGTCGGAAATGTAACAGTTTTGGTTTTGTTTTAAGGTCAAAAAGGTGTACATTGCACTTATTCGAGAAGGCAGAGTACATCCGAATTTCACGCTTCTTGGATAGCGCCTGAATTTCAATATTAATTTTACGTCTTTTCAGTCATAATATATATTGTAGTATTTAGCTTTCACATATTTATGCAAAAAGTAAAATATACAGAATATATTTGAGGCGTTCTCAAGTTATCGAACAAAAACTGCTGCACCTTTTGTGTTTTTAAAATTGACACATTTGCCCCGACGTAGCCCAATAACAAATCAAACTTTTTTCTAGGCAAGAATCACCAATGCTGAAAGTTCGAACCCAAGCAGACCAGGCCTTCTTAGGTTGTTAGCAGAAACCTAGAGAACACAGAAAGAAGCAGATCCATCAACACTGTAGGTCGCCTCTGTGCCGGGGAGCTATAATAAACACTGTCATGGTTATCATACCAGGAAAGTTTAGCGTATAGCAACAACGTGACGTGAGCATCTGCAGCGACGGTGTATCGGATAGCAGAAAACATATGCGACTACCAGCAGCATGACGTGAGCGCCTACAATGATAGCTATGAAGAGCATTAGAGACGTCCTCAGTGGTACCCTGACCCCTTTATTGCCAGGTCAGGCTACACAAGTACTTGACCCACACTACCAGGTCAGGATACAATAGTACCTGACCAACGGTGCCAGGCTACAGCAGTCCCTGACCCACTCTGCCAGTTCAGACTACAGTACTCCCTGACCCATGCTACCAGGTCAGGCTACAGTAGTCACTGGCAAATTACTAACAGGTCAGGCTTCAGTAGTCCCTGATCCACGCTACCAGGTGTGAAGACGTCTGCATGGTCTAGTAATCAGGATGGTCCAACTACGGGACCGCGGGTGTATTTTATGTGGCCCGCGAGCACTCATTAATTTATTGAATGGTTGATAAATGCTGAGTGTAAGACGAGTGAATGCTGGGAGAACGCTAAGTGAATGCTGGGAGAACGCTAAGTGAATGCTGGGGGAACGCTAAGTGAATGCTGGGAGAACGCTAAGTGAATGCTGGGAGAACGCTAAGTGAATGCTGGGAAAACGCTCAGTGAATGCTGGGAGAACGGTTTCCTTGTAAATCCGTGGAGAGATGTGCTCCCCCTCTAGAAGTCCACCTCACATTCACAAGTATATATTAATGGCTACAATTATACACGGATGCCCATCAAATACTAACAATGTATCACACGTGTGCGGGAAATAAAAATAACAAAATTATAAAACGTGATGAAAGAAATTGCAATAAAATTCCTGACTGTTTTAAAAAAAAAAAACCGCACTGAACAATAACGAAGTATGAATGAGAGAACTTTCACGTGCGTACACACGCACCTTCACGTGCATACACACGCACCTTCCAAGGAATTGTGTGTAAGCACGTGAAAAAAAAGTTCCGAAATTTCAATTTTGATATTTTTCACTATACTTTCTCGCATGAGAATATGTTATTTGACCAAGACATATATGAAGTTTACGCGTGTAAACGGTAGACTGCTGTCACCACAGCTGTTTGGACAGGTCACATTTATTTCACGTATGATACAGTGTCAGTATCCGGGATAATAATAAATACTACCATAATTTTTAAAGGGATTGACTGGTAAGCCAGCGGAAGTCTTCGGTCAGATGACCAAAATCTCCAGCTATGGTCATCATATGACTAAAACCCTCGTAAGGAAACATGTGTCCTGTTCCCTGACAAACTTTACCTAAGCTAACCTAACGGGATAATACAAATAAAGTCACTCTTCCTATGAAATATAGAATATAGCATGATGTAACAGTCAACCATCCATTCCTTTATCATTTTTTTATGAATGATTTTTAACAGTTTACTTTGCATTTTGTTTTTGTTAAATTTTATTGGCCCCCAACTTGCTTCTGTAACGTCTTGCTATTTTGAAAATGTTTTTCTGCGCATGTGCAAGAACTACTTAACCATCTCATCAGTTTTTTTATTTCATTAAAATACTTTTTATATTTACTTGCATATTCATACTTATAAAGACGCTGCAAATAGAAACTTAAACACAGCTTTTCCATTCATACAAGATAAACATTACTTAAGAAATCGTAATGACACGATTGCAAACAAACCATACCCCCGGCCGGGATTGAACCCGCGACGGGCTGGAGTTTTGAGACTCTATGACCGCGGGTTCAATCCCGGCCGGGGGTATGGTAAGATAAACATTATTTATACATCTGGTCTGCATTGAATGCTCGGCATTTTGAACCCAATCTCATACAACAAACTTATTTCTAAATCAACATCTAATTGCTTGGGTGTTATGGTTAAAGTAAATAAGTAAAAGTCAGGTAAATCTATTAAAAAATATATAAAATGTTGAAAAACTAAACTTTTTACTAACCTGGTATACTCAACCGTGAGCCAGACAATCCATCCATGTTTTCCAAGAGCCGTAATTAGCTTTTCCATGGTGGAGAGGAATTTGATGTTTTTATTAAATAAAAATGGATACACAAGCAAATTTCTAAATGATAATTACATAGTGGGAACAAAAGCTAGCTATGTTTACCTGTCATATTGCATCATACATGATGGGTTTCATATATCGTGTTGAAATCTATCAGTCTGAGATTTGAGACTTAAGTATAACAATATGAGGATAACGTCAGGTATTCCATTATAGATTCAGCATCTACGGGAGCTTCAAAAGCTTCGTTCTTGAATAGCTGGATTTATTATTACTTGGGAATTATCATATCTCAGGATGGCCTTTCTCATCAACAGGAAAAAATGGAATTCATGAAGATATCTTCAACAACAGAGGGAGACAAAAGAGAGAAGGGAAAGGGGGAATGATGTCAGGTGTCATGGAGCATCAACACAGCAACTCCGTTAGTCTAGGCTGATAGTGCGAAACTCATCCGTCTTAAGGTTTTTATTACTGATTTTCACCTCTTCCTTCAGTTTACTCCTTGCTAACAAGATTATTCAACATTAGCTCCTTCTCACTTTGCTCTTAGGCAAGTTATTTTTGTCTCTAGTAACAAAGATAAGAAATATACCCGATGCTGGTGGGTGTCAAGTAAACGTAACAATATTAAAACAATAAATAAGTGTGTTAATGAATGTATCGAGTATCAGGAACCTTCATGCTAACGCAGACTATGCCGAATTTCTTGTGCTTTTAAATGCTTTTATTTTCTCGTCGGTTAAAGAAGAAACACTTGGTATTTTTTGGTATTTCATGGTATATTACTAAATAAAACTGAAATTAGAACGATGTCATGAAGCTACCATGAAATATGGCACGAAAAAAAATATAGAGATTAAACTGCGAAATTTGTCCAGCTTTATGACATGTTCAGTTTCACTTCCATCCGTCTGTCTTTTCTGGGTAAAATTCTCCACAGCAGGAGAACCCCCCAGCAGCTCTTGCATATAACAATATCACAACACTTTCCAGCCTCACTCTTCTACCTGTAGCCGAGAGCCACAAGTATTAATCTTACACCAGTGAGAGCTGCAATCATCCCCCTTCCACAAAACTGAGAGCTGCAACCGTACGTCTCTCAAACAACTGAGAGCTGCAACCGTACGTCTCTCAAACAACTGAGAGCTGCAAGACACTCGCACGCAACTGGGAGTTGCACGCGTCCCTCTGCCATACAAGTGAGGACTACAGGTGTCCCTCCCCCACACATCTGAAAACTATTAGTAATACTCTCTGACAAAACTAAGAGGTGCAAGGTGTATGTCGAGGCACCATCTAGTATGGGAATCACCAATACCGTCACTATGTACGTGTTTCTTCTGTTCGCCATGGCGGTCGCTAAACCTACACTGAAAACGTCGACTCAGCAGGAGTTAGAATCTGCTGTGATCTTGTCACAGTTAGCGTTGTCGCACCAAGCTGAGGTCTTTGTGGAACTACTCAATGCCACACAACACCACCTCTCTTCGTTCTATCAAGGTATTTAGTCGGTATACTGCCAGGTCAACTTTGTTACTGGAGCACAACAAATAACCCGCACATTGCAGAAACTTATGACAACATTTCGGTCGGACTTGGACCATTAACTCGCAGTGCGGGTTATTTGTATATTGTTCCAGTCACAGTACTCTGCCTTGTTATTCTTTATTACTACAGCTTTTACAAAGTATATAATACATATGTACACACACACACACACACACACACACACACACACACACACACACACACACACACCACACACACACACACACACACACACATACACACACACACACCTTTACCTTTATACCTTTGAAAAATTTCGAGAGTATATCTACTTTCTGAGCCCGGCCATAGGCCAGGCTCGTCTAGTGCTCGCCTGGTCAACCAGGCTGTTGCTGCTGGAGGCCCGCTGCCCCACATATCCATCACAGCCTGATTGATCTGGCACCTGGTGAAGATACTTGTCTAGTTTCCTCTTGAAGGCTTCAACACTTGTTCCAGCAGTGTTTCTGATATCTTCTGGTAAGATGTTGAAAAGTCTGGGACCCCGGATGTTGATACAGTGTTCCCTTATTGTCCCCACCGCACCCCTGCTCCTCACTGGGTTTATTTTACACTTCCTACCACATCTCTCACTCCAGTGTGCAGATTTGGGACCAAGCCCTCGAGTACCTTCCAGGTATATATTATCATGTACCTCTCTCTCCTCTGCTTCAATGAGTACATGTTCAAGACTTGCTGGCGTTCCCAGTAGTTTAGGTGCTTTACTGGCTGAATGTGAGCAGTAAACGATCTCTGTATTAGTTCCAGCTCCGATATTTCTCCTGCCCTGAACGGGGCCGTCAGCACTGAGCAATATTCTAAGTGAGGGAGCACTAGCGATTTGAAGAGTGTCACCATCGGCATTGTTTCCCTTGTTTTGAAAATTCTCAATACCCACCCAGTCATCTTCCTGGCTGTCGTGATCTTTGTCATGTTATGGTCTTTAAAAGAAAGGTCCGCTGACATAATTATTCCTAGGTCTTTTACGTGTTCCTTACGTTCTATTTGGTGACCCTCTTGAGTTTTGTATATATTGCTCTTTTTTAGTTTTTCATTCTTTCTGTACCTAAGCAGCTGGAACTAATCACCATTGAACGTCATATTGTTTTCCACTCCCCACTGGAAAACCCTGTTTATGTCTTCCTGTACTTTTTCAGTGTCCTCTACCGTACTGACTTTCATGCTTATTTTAGTGTCATCTGCAAATGATGATACAAAAGTGTGCCGGGTGTTTTTGTCTATGTCTGCTATGAGGATGAGGAACAGCAGAGGTGCTAGGACAGTACCTTGGGGCACTGAGCTTTTGACCTCGCTGATGCTGGATCTTGCCCTGTTCACTACTACTTTTTGTGTTCTGTGTGTTAGAAACCGAAAATCCATCTGCCTACCTTCCCGGTAATGCCCATGGCCTTCATTTTGTGCGCTATCACTCGCCTTTGCAAAATCTGTGTAAATCACATCTGCGTTTTGGTCGTCTTCCAGTGCCTCCGTAATTGTCATAATGGTTCAGCAGCTGTGACAGACATGATCGTCCTGCTCTAAAACCATGCTGGTTCGGGTTATGTTGGTTGTGCTGGTCCATGAAATTTGTGACCTGCCGTCTCATCTCTCTTTCGAAGATTTTTATGATGTGAGAGGTTAGGTGCTCCACTGCCTCCCTTGTGCAAAGGAGCTATGTCTGCACTCTTTAAGGCCTCCGGTATTTCACCTAGATCTAAGCTCTTTCTCCAAAGAATACTTAGGGCTCGTGCTAGTGGTACTTTGCACTTCTTTATAAATAGAGCATTCCATGAATCTGGTCCCGGTGCTGACTGAGTGGGCATGTTTTCCATTTCTTTTTCGAAATCTATGGGATTTGTACTAATGTCAGTTAGTTGGTCTGTGCGGCCTTCTTCTGGAGTGAAAAATATTTCTGCATTTTCTACCTTGCTGTCATTTAGTGGGTTGCTGAACACCGACTCATACTGCTCTTTTAGGATTTCACTCATTTCCTGTTCATCTCAGTAGTGGTCCAATTCTACAGGTAGTTCTTAGCTTGGAGTTTGCGTAGGAACAGAAATATTTTGGGTTCCTTGCAATATCCTGTATGGCCTTTTGCTCCCTTTGTACTTCTTCTGTGAGGTATGACATCCTAAGTTTTTGCTCTAATTCAGTGATCTCTCTGCTAAGTCTATCTTTCCTCTGATTAAGCCGAACTTCACTCTACGTAGTTATACTCGGTTTTTAATGCTCTCTAATCTGCATTAATGAACCTAGGGTTTTGATGTCTACAATATTTTCTGCACCAAGTGTTGACGTATACTCTAATGTTTTAGTTTGATAAAATAGTTTCTTATTCTACCAGAAAGGAAAGTACGATAACCCCATTGTTTCGTAAAATTGAAAAACTGGCCCAAAAAAAAAAAAATCGAAACTTTTTTAAGGCTTATAAATGTTTGTTCAATAAAATTTTCTGGCACACACGTATGCAGCATACAATCTATCTGAATCATTTATTAAATCCAATAAAACACTGTTGAGATTTTAAGGTGTTTCAAAAGAGCTCTCCAGTATAGTGCGCAAAACAAAACAAAAAAAATCACAGTTTAATCTACAAAACTGGCAAATTAGCTCCAACATAACAACATAGTTCGGTACCGAATCAAACTTTCTGGTGTGAAGCCAGAAAATGCGTTATAACATTATTGTATGGAATCTTTGGAAGAGGAAGGAAACACATATTGAAAAGGGACAAAATCCAACAAATACTCTAGTTATCCTCTTCTGAGGGATACCTAATAATAAAATACCCTGTTTTATGAAGGCTAGGACTTGTGCCTTTACTTATGCTGCTGGAAACAATGCAAGGTCATTACACGGTTCAAATGCTTCACTCACGTGTGATGCAATAAAAACAGAGTATAATCACGTATTGGATATTATGTAATGGTAACTCAAGTACTTTTCTCAATGTTTCTGTCGAGTTTTGATTCTTGCAGGTGGGTACTGCCCTTACCCTTACACCAAGGTGCTGGATGAGTGCTTCTACCTGAGTGCATACGAACTGAACTGGAGTGAGGCACGTCTGACCTGCCAGGGAATGACTGGAGATTTGGCTACTCCTAGACACCTCTATGCTCTCAAGGCATTCATTATAGAAAAAACAGGTTTGTCAATAAAGTGTTTATTTAGTGTCTGAAATGTCTGCAAGGCTGATTTTGCCATTGGTCTTGGTTGAGGAATGGGTTTATTAAAATGAGAATTGGCCGTTTCCAGTACATATGGCATAACTGTAAAATAGACTAAAGGTGGATTTATTTTAATTTCGAGCAGTTTTATTACTTAATACTAATAGGTAGTAGGTTGGTAGACAGCAACCGCCCAGGGAGGTACTACCGTTCTGCCAAGTGAGTGTAAAACGAAAGCCTTTAATTGTTTTACATGATGGTAGGATTGCTGGTGTCTTTTGTCTGTCTCATAAATATGCAAGATTACAGGTATGTCTTGCTACTTCTACTTACACTTAGGTCACACTAAACATACATTTTTTTTTTTTTTTTTTTTTATCACACTGGCCGATTCCCACCAAGGCAGGGTGGCCCGAAAAAGAAAAACTTTCACCATCATTCACTCCATCACTGTCTTGCCAGAAGGGTGCTTTACACTACAGTTTTTAAACTGCAACATTAACACCCCTCCTTCAGAGTGCAGGCACTGTACTTCCCATCTCCAGGACTCAAGTCCGGCCTGCCGGTTTCCCTGAACCCCTTCATAAATGTTACTTTGCTCACACTCCAACAGCACGTCAAGTATTAAAAACCATTTGTCTCCATTCACTCCTATCAAACACGCTCACGCATGCCTGCTGGAAGTCCAAGCCCCTCGCACACAAAACCTCCTTTACCCCCTCCCTCCAACCTTTCCTAGGCCGACCCCTACCCCGCCTTCCTTCCACTACAGACTGATACACTCTTCAAGTCATTCTGTTTCGCTCCATTCTCTCTACATGTCCGAACCACCTCAAACAACCCTTCCTCAGCCCTCTGGACAACAGTTTTGGTAATCCCGCACCTCCTCCTAACTTCCAAACTACGAATTCTCTGCATTATATTCACACCACACATTGCCCTCAGACATGACATCTCCACTGCCTCCAGCCTTCTTCTCGCTGCAACATTCATCACCCATGCTTCACACCCATATAAGTGCGTTGGTAAAACTATACTCTCATACATTCCCCTCTTTCCCTACAAGGACAAAGTTCTTTGTCTCCACAGACTCCTAAGTGCACACTCACCCTTTTCCCTCATCAATTCTATGATTCACCTCATCTTTCATAGACCCATCCGTTGACACGTCCACTCCCAAATATCTGAATGAATTCACCTCCTCCATACTCTCTCCCTCCAATCTGATATTCAATCTTTCATCACCTAATCTTTTTGTTATCCTCATAACCTTACTCTTTCCTGTATTCACCTTTAATTTTCTTCTTTTGCACACCCTACCAAATTCATCCACCAATCTCTGCAACTTCTCTTCAGAATCTCCCAAGAGCAAAGTGTCATCAGCAAAGAGCAGCTGTGACAACTCCCACTTTGTGTGTGATTCTTTATCTGTTAACTCCACGCCTCTTGCCAAGACCCTCGCATTTACTTCTCTTACAACCCCATCTATAAATATATTAAACAACCACGGTGACATCACACATCCTTGTCTAAGGCCTACTTTTACTGGGAAATAATTTCCCTCTTTCCTACATACTCTAACTTGAGCCTCACTATCCTCGTAAAAACTCTTCACTGCTTTCAGTAACCTACCTCCTACACCATACACTTGCAATATCTGTCACATTGCCCCCCTATCCACCTGTCATACGCCTTTTCCAAATCCATAAATGCCACAAAGACCTCTTTAGCCTTATCTAAATACTGTTCACTTATATGTTTCACTGTAAACACCTGGTCCACACACCCCTACCTTTCCTAAAGCCACCTTGTTCATCTGCTATCCTATTCTCCGTCTTACTCTTAATTCTTTCAATAATAACTCTACCATTACACTTTACCAGGTATACTCAGCAGACTTATCCCCCTATAATTTTTGCACTCTCTTTTATCCCCTTTGCCTTTATACAAAGGAACTATGCATGCTCTCTGCCAATCCCTAGGTACCTTACCCTCTTCCATACATTTATTAAATAATTGCACCAACCACTCCAAAACTATATCCCCACCTGCTTTTAACATTTCTATCTTTATCCCATCAATCCCGGCTGCCTTACCCCCTTTCATTTTACCTACTGCCTCACGAACTTCCCCCACACTCACAACTGGCTCTTCCTCACTCCTACAAGATGTTATTCCTCCTTGTCCTATACACGAAATCACAGCTTCCCTATCTTCATCAACATTTAACAATTCCTCAAAAATATTCCCTCCATCTTCCCAATACCTCTAACTCTCCATTTAATAACTCGCCTCTCCTATTTTTAACTGGCAAATCCATTTGTTCTCTAGGCTTTCTTAACTTGTTAATCTCACTCCAAAACTTTTTCTTATTTTCAACAAATTTGCTGATAACATCTCACCCACTCTTTCATTTGCTCTCTTTTTACATTGCTTCACCACTCTCTTAACCTCTCTCTTTTTCTCCATATACTCTTCCCTCCTTGCATCACTTCTACTTTGTAAAAACTTCTCATATGCTGACTTTTTCTCCCTTACTACTCTCTTTACATCATCATTCCACCAATCGCTCCTCTTCCCTCCCGCACCCACTTTCCTGTAACCACAAACTTCTGCTGAACACTCTAACACTACATTTTTAAACCTACCCCATACCTCTTCGACCCCATTGCCTATGCTCTCATTAGCCCATCTATCCTCCAACAGTGTTTATATCTTACCCTAACTGCCTCCTCTTTTAGTTTATAAACCTTCACCTCTCTCTTCCCTGATGCTTCTATTCTCCTTGTATCCATCTACCTTTTACTCTCAGTGTAGCTACAATTAGAAAGTGATTTGATATATCTGTGGCCCCTCTATAAACATGTACATCCTGAAGTCTACTCAACAGTCTTTTATCTACCAATACATAATCCAACAAAACTACTGTCATTTCGCCCTACATCATATCTTGTATACTTATTTATCCTCTTTTTCTTAAAATATGTATTACCTATAACTAAACCCTTTCTATACAAAGTTCAATCAAAGGGCTCCCATTATCATTTACACCTGGCACCCCAAACTTACCTACCACACCCTCTCTAAAAGTTTCTCCTACTTTAGCATTCATGTCCCCTACCACAATCACTCTCTCACTTGGTTCAAAGGCTCCTATACATTCACTTAACATCTCCCAAAATCTCTCTCTCTCCTCTGCATTCCTCTCTTCTCCAGGTGCATACACGCTTATTATGACCCACTTCTCGCATCCAACCTTTACTTTAATCCACATAATTCTTGAATTTACACATTCATATTCTCTTTTCTCCTTCATAAACTGATCATTCAACATTACTGCTACCCCTTCCTTTGCTCTAACTCTCTCAGATACTCCAGATTTAATCCCATTTATTTCCCCCCACTGAAACTCCCCTACCCCTTCAGCTTTGTTTCGCTTAGGGCCAGGACATCCAACTTTTTTTCATTCATAACATCAGCAATCATCTGTTTCTTGTCATCCGCACTACATCCACGCACATTTAAGCATCCCAGTTTTATAAAGTTTTTCTTCTTCTCTTTTTTAGTAAATATCTACAGGAGAAGGGGTTACTAGCCCATTGCTCCCGGCATTTTAGTCGCCTCATACGATACGCATTGCTTACGGAGGAAAGATTCTTTTCCACTTCCCCATGGACAATAGAAGAAATAAAGAACAAGAGCTATTTAGAAAAAAGGTGAAAAACCTAGATGTATGTATATATATATATGCATATGCGTGTCTGTGAAGTGTGACCAAAGTGTAAGTAGGAGAAGCAAGATATCCCTGTTATCTAGCGTGTTTATGAGACAGAAAAAGAAACCAGCAATCCTACCATCATGCAAAACAGTTACAGGTTTCTGTTTCACAGTCATCTGGCAGGACGGTAGTACTTCCCTGGGTGGTTGCTGTCTACCAACCTACTACCTACGTTTATTTATACACACTCATCTGAGTTTTCTTTGATTTTATCTTAATTCTTGTTCTAATTACTTTTCCCTTTATATCCATGGGGAAGTGGAATAAGAATCTTTCCTCCGTAAGCCATGCGTGTTGTAAAAGTCAACTAAAATGCCGGGAACAATGGGCTAGTAACCCCTTTTGCTGTAAAAATTACTTAAAAGAATAAGAAGAAGAAAATTGTCAAAGTGGGAAGTTTGAATGTGCGTGGATGTTGTGCAAATGATAAGAAAGAGATAATTGTGGATGTTATGAATGAGAAGAAGCTGGATATATTTGGCTTTAAGTGAAACAAAGCTGAAGGGGGTGGGTGAGTTTCAGTGGAGAGGAATAAATGGGATTAGGTCAGGGGTTTCTAATAGAGTTAGAGCTAAAGGAGCCTGACGATCTGTTGGAATGTGAGCAGGGTAATATTTTGTGAAGGGATTCAGGGAAACCGGTTATTTTATATAACCGGACTTTGAGTCCTGGAAGTGGGAAGTACAATGCCTGCATTCTAAAGGAGGGGTTTGGGATATTGGCAGTTTGGAGAGATATATTGTGTATTTTCATACGTATATACTTCTAAACTGTTGTATTCTGGGCACCTCTGCAAAAACAGTGATTATGTGTGAGTGAGGTGAAAGTGTTGAATGATGATGAAAGTATTTTCTTTTTGGGGATTTTCTTTCTCTTTGGGTCACCCTGCCTCGGTGGGAGACGGCTGACTTGTTGAGAAAAAAAAATTCTTGTATCCCTTTCCATTGCTCTATTACTCTCATTATATTTTTTATATCCTTTCGACATAAATTACTGAACAAAGTTTCAAGCAAATATTTATTTATAACCCTATATATCTGTTGTACATCTTTCTGATCCATGCAATACAGGGAAAGAAGAGCCTCCTTTAGAAGTGTTCGTTGGCGCTAAGTATTTCCATGAGGAGGGTGAATGGAGGTGGCTGGACGGCCGTACTATGGACTCCAGTAACTGGTCCCCAGGAGAACCCAACAACAATGGTGGTAAAGAACACTGTGTCGACATGTGGATGAAAAAACACCCGATGATGAACGACCGTAGCTGCTCATCACAGCGGCGATTTGTTTGCCAGTATCAACTTCCACACTGACACTAACAGACAAGTGGCGGCCACAGGGCTGTGGGTAAATGATTAGTCCGCCGCTCTTGCTTTTTCTGTGTTATTGATTACTATATAATTCCTAAATGATCGAATATTTATGCAAAATAATAATCATGTGCAATGTTAACAGTATTCGAGTGATCCACAATGAATCACTTTGCAGTTAAATAATGAATATCACTCCTACTATTGGGAACGGAAAGCATCAATAAACAGAAATTAAGAAATGGTTGTAGTACAAATTTTAAGACTTAAAGTTTAGTCAAAACTCAGACAAATGTGTGGAGAGTATTGAAATAAACACTTCATGTCTTTCTCGCTAAGTATCGAGTTACCTGCAGAATGAGACATAACCTTTAATTGTTTCATATTGGAATCATTTAGTCAAGTTGCACTTCATTTAATAAAATTGAGTATGTAAATATGTCTTGCGTGTGGAACAACGCTCTCAGTACTTAACAAACAACAAATATAGGTTGATACTTTTCACTGAAACTTGATCTTTATGTCTGATCAGTTGAGCTCGAAGTCATGCATTGCTACATTTCTTGCTAACTTATGCTGATTGTGAGCTTTAATAAATAAAATTATAAAAGAAATTTTAGTTTCAACTTGATCTTTTTTTGTACTCTTACCTACTATCAATCTGTGAAAAAACTGTCCATGATATTCAACACACAAATCTAACTTCAAATATAAGATAATTTGGTGAACACTGTACCCTATTTCTGGTTAAAAAATCTGGCAATCGTGGTGGGCGGAGGCTGTGGCGCCTCTCATGACAAACCATCCCTTCATACACCACCAGCATTTGAATATGTGGATGTGAATATATCATCCACATCCTTTCACACCACAGCAACACTTGTACAGGAATATGTACATCTTTCACAACCTTTCCATCCTCATCATCAGTACTACCTCGCCCAGTATGGTTTACGAGTGTTTGTATATATCCCTATCCCTTGCTACCTTACCAATATACTTTGTGTCTGTGTACAAGTCCGTATACATTCCTACCCCACAAACACTGGTATAGGTATGCGCTCCTGCCTACCGTAGCTGTCAAAATATTACGAAATAATTTTAGATCCCCTGGAAAATAAACAAAATACATGTGTAATATACACAGGAGAATATGGCTATGATCACAATCATTATTTTTAAAGGAGTTCAAATGTTTGACTGAGTGTATACGGAAGTGAAATTTCTCTGTACTTTTTCCAGCTCTGCAGTCTCGCGTGCCATGTAAGGAACTGTTATTCTACAGCAGTATTATAGCCTGGATAGAACAAGTGACCTGAAGAGTATCTCATTGGCTCAGCTTCTCTTGTTCTATTTAGCCAGTCTGTCATTTCTCCATACAGTAGCACCGGCAACATTGTTGTGATCCTTGAAGATGAGAACTTCTGACATCATTACTCCTAACTCTCGCACATGAGACTCATTCTAATAAAATGAGTTTGTCTTGTACTCTGTTACAGTCTTTATTTCCTCAATTCTTCCATCACGGAGCAGATGAAGTTTGTCCTCGCTAAACATCATAATGTTGTCTGAGACCTCTTATAGAGTCTCTTCGGGGATACCTAATTACTTCAATAAAATGGCAAACTAGCACCTATTAAGCCCAAAACTCATTCAAAATAAAACATTCAAGTAAGATAATTTAAAGCCGATCTGACAAGGCATTCTCTAGGTATCTCACAGAGATAAATTTGAAGCCGCTCAAAAGTAGCACTGTCAGGTTATTTGAAGTACTGAAGCTAATCGGATGAGATATTCATAAATAATCATATGAACTCTTGTTTCCATTTTCCCAATTTCTACGTGATAAATAGGATAGTGGCACCTACACAAACCAAAATCAATCCTAGGTTTTCTCTAGGTAAGATTCATCAGCATTTAGAGTTTAAAGCCGATCACCATAGACGTTTTCCATTTATTGTTCAGAAATTAGTTTCTTTAGCAGAAAAACTACAAGTTACACAAAACCCAAAATCAAGGCGAAGCGTTCTTTAAGAAAAACACATCGGCACTCAAAGTTTGAAGCCGACCAAAAGATGAATTTTTCAGTTACACATAATCCAACAATTACAAGTTCATGAGCTACATTAGCAAATTTAAGAAATTTGCACTTTGCCTAAACCCTAAAACGTTTCAGCCATTACAGATCATCATTATTGATGCAGCAACTATTACAGATTGATGTCATTTAGAGGAGACAAACTCCAGCTTTTGAATGAAAACAGTACCATAGTATTTCGAAAGAAAAGTAAATTTACAATAACAACTGTTTTCTTAGTAGGATCCACCAGTGTTCAAAAGTTGAAGGCGATCAAAAGAGGCTTTCTAAGGTTATGACATGGAAACCAAATTCGGGAAAAGTCTATATAAAGTGTTCCAAGAACTTTACTCTTCTTATAGTTCACCAATCTTGAATATTTTAAGCTTATCTGAAGTTATAAACAAAAGCCTTGGGAGTGAGTGTGTGGACGTCGATGAGTGTGGGCGCTTGTACAAGTGGAAGATCGTATGACGTGTAACTGGGCCAGCCGGTGTGAATGAGCACTCTTGAGTGTGCCAGCTAGTGTGTGTGTGTGTGTGTGCATAAATGTGTATGTGCATCCTCTGGGATTTCATGTGCATGTGCGTGCTTGTATATGTCCATCTCCTTTTTTATCATCTGTCGTTGCTTGTTGACAATTCTTAGGTACATATCATATTTATATTTGTATCCATGTTAGAGTTAGCGTTCAAAATGCAGAACTATCATCGAGATTAAATTTCTATAAACTTTAGAGGTCCTTCATTTTGTTTCAATAAAAGAAATATTAGTTAATACCTCCTTGAAGAGTTGCTTATTGATGAAGAGAACAACTGGAATACTGTCTAAGTTACGCAAAAGTAGTTTTTAAAAAGTGGGCTAAACTGCATTGTTTGCCCAATTCTGTGACGTTGGTTTCACTTCCATGTTTTTTAAAGATAAATTTCTTCCCAGCAGGAGAAATATGGTAACTTTGGGATATAATAGCATCACTCCTCTCCCATGCGACTGAGAGGTATATATAAGGTGTCTTCATGTGTTCAGAGAGAGGTGTTTAGAAACTCCGACCCGAGACGTATCAGTACAGTCACTATGTACCGTCTTATTACCCGTCTTATTACCGTCCTGTGGGTCGTGGCGGCCGCTGATGTTGAAGTTTCAACCGTCTCTCAGGATGAACTTCGTTCAGCAGTGATTGTGAACCAGTTGTTGTTATCTCAACAAACAGACATCCTGAAGGAGCTGCTCAACAACACACAACACAACCAAGGTTATCCTTTTTTTTTTTTTTTACTTTACTATTTAACCACTATTTTAACACCCAGAAATGAAAACATGATCATCACAACATTTGTGGCTGAGTGGTGTAAGGGGTTACAAAGGAAACTATGACACCTTCCAAACGTGGATTTGAATCCTGCTAACTACGATCTTTCTGCCTGTATATTCCTCTACTCGTTTCGCCTCGAATAGGTAAAATTGATCAATTACCAAGAACTCATTTAAAAATAAGTTTTTTCTAAAAAAATTCCTTATACGTTTAAAGATATATTTTTTTCATTTACGTTAATGTAAAAATTAATAATTTTGTACCAAAAGAACCTTAGAAAACTTTCCTAACCTTATTATAACAATCACATTTTAATTTAGCCTAATCCAACTAAACGTATTTTAGATAAGTTTACAATAATTTAATCATAAACAAACACAATGAAATATATGTTTTGTCGTTAGGTTCAGAATGATATTTGCGGAATTATTGCATACACAAATTTTCGCTTGCCTTATTCGGCAAGAAGAACTTTGCTATTTAAGCCAAAATCCTAAGTTTTCCGTAATCGGCACGACATATATACAGTATATATATATATATATATATATATATAATATATATTATATATATATATTATATATATATATATATATATATATATATATATATATATATATATGGAGGTACCACCTTCATAACTTTTTTTTTTATATTTTATTTAAAAAACACAGCATACATGGATGGTATACATAAATGATTTAAAACAAAAAACGCAAAAACTTTATATAAGAAGACAACATATAACTAAACAGAGGACTACCGGAACATATCTTAACCACAAAATAACTATATAACCAAAACCTGACAGTCTTATTCATATTGTGTATGAAATTTTATATACGAAAAACAATATCATATAAACTAATACATTGTACACTCAATGGTACTATTGTTATATAAAATAACTAACAGAAACCTACACGACTCTTGAAATTGAAACATGGTGTTCTTTATTTTTGGTTTTGCATATATTGAAAAAGGAATCAAAATATGCAAAGAGAGTTTAATAATTAACATTAGACTTTCACAGATCTAGCATGTATGATTACATATGAGGAAACACTAAGACACCTAATACCCCGACCAACCCCATATTTAGCTTCTTAAACTAATTATAAACCCATAAAAAATATACCTTGCTTGTATACAGTGATATTAGTAAAGGTGCTTAATTGAACATCAACTGACTATATGCACCATAAATGATAAAAAAAATACATGTGATATCACTGGGTGAGGGAACAACATATCCCGCAAAAGCTGCTGCCCAAGGAACTTGAATGTCCAAAGATTACAATATAGGACATTATACATCTCAACCCCACCCCCTTCACAGCGGTGACCGCTACTACATATACAAAAACAATTTTAGGCAAATGAAACTTTTTGTCCTTCATCAAAAGTTTACAATCATCACCAAAAGTTCTGCTTATGAACATTCCCCTTAAAGGCCAGTATAACGTACTTTTAGCGGTGATATCAGCGTGGCATCCGCTTACAAATGACTAAACTAAACCTAACGGGAATTCCAGGAAAGACCCAACATACTTCACCAAACCCCGGCCATAGTCGGGAATCAGTTCAGTCTTGTTAGAGGCTGGAACATATACTGAAATATTGCTTTTTATCTGTATTATCAAAATGCATGACCATTTTAGGATTAATCCAAGATCTCAGTTCCACACAACGCCACAACCATACACACAGACCCACGATACCATTCATAATACATACACGCCACTCCCTAAAACCCGCCCTCTACCCTGAAGTCTCTAACATACCGTTTGGTGCTACCACGGGGGAGTTCAGCCCCCCGTTGCATTACCCCACCCCCAGTTGCAGCAACCTTTGAACAGTAAGACTTCGATAATTTGAAGGAAAACTATTATCCCAACTTCTACCATATATGAGTTTATTTCTGCAATACGTTCTGTAGATACCTACCGCAATTGCCCTGATCCTAACTGATCCCCCGGTTTCCCGCATACCCACGAGTTTAAAGAGGAAATCAGCCACCAAGTACATTATTGCTCTTCGTACCTCACTTGATACTCCGCTAACGTCCAATGTTAAGGCCCGTAAGGTTGAAATACTTCCCCCACTAAGAAAATCTAAAACCAGCCCCAACCACGAACGAACTTTGTCCAAGGTATCACAAAAGTAGACAGCATGAAAAGCTGTTTCTTCGAGACCGCAACGCAAGCAATCTGCCTCCCTTACCAAACCCATCCTATTTAAGACCGATTTTGATGCTAAAATCCCCATGACAAATCTGTACACCAATTCACGAACCCTTGGTGCCAACTTAAGTTCACAAAATCCTTCCCATATTTCCCCCCAATTATACAGCGGAAAAACAGACAATCCCTGTACAATTTCCCCACGACAACATATGCTGACCATTTGCCCCACCCGGATCCGTTGCGCATTTCTTAACTTTAACAACAAACGCAGCATGTCCTCACACTCTATTAATCCCCTGCCGCTCCACCATTTACGCATTTCGATCATTACCCGACCCACCCGGATGCCCTTCTCACCGCCCGCCCTGAGGAACCACTGCTTTACATAGAGGGCCTTCACCCGTGGCCCCAAAGCCAAGAGACCTAAACCCCCACGACGAACATGGGTCATGACAGCCTCCCGACTTAACCAAGCTCTCCCGAAACCCCAAACATAACGTAAGACCCTTCTCTGCAGTTCCTGAATATCCGTATCTCTTAAAGGGTACACCTCAGCCACACCCCATACCTTACTATAAACAAGTGTATTAACCACTACTGTCCTCTGTTGCAATGAGACATCCCCAGTTCTTAACCCCCGAAGTCGATCTAAAGCCTTGTTAACCACCAATTCAGAGTTTACCCTTCGGCCCTCCCTCTCATCTGCCATGTACACGATACCACATATTCTAAGTTGCACAACGACTGACCACCCATACCTTTCGCCCAACCTCTCCCCCACCCATGTACCCACCTCCAATAATTTCGATTTTGCCTTATTGACGCACATGCCGATTTTGCCTTATTGACGCACATGCCAGACTCTGGCCCAAAAAACTCAACAATCCATCCCACGATCTGCAAATCCTCCTCCCCTTTTAACAAAATCGTGATATCATCTACGTACCCGACCACACGTGCTGCATGGTCACTGCTCAGCGTTCTATGCCTCAAACCACCATCCACCAGCTCATAAAAGGGGTTTTGCATACAAGCAAAAAGCAGCTGGGATAGGGGGCACCCTTGCCTCAAACCCCTTTCCATACGGACCGGCTGCCCCAATTTACCGTTTACCTGTACGCGTACCATAGCCGAGACATACAAGGTATCAACCCATCTTACAATCCCCTCTCCAAAACCCTGCTTCAATAAAATAAGCCTCAAGAAATCCCTATCAACACAGTCATAAACATTTTGCCAGTCAAGCCCGAGGACACCCCCCCCTCTTGACATTCCTCCAAAAACTCCCTAATACGTACATGTCCGTCCCTCATGCTTCTACCTGGTATGCCTAGCTGTCCCTCGCGAATAACCGACCCCATAACCTTCCTCATTCTGTTTCCTAAAACTTTTGCAAAGATTTTATAGTCCAAGCACATAAGAGATATTGCTCTATATGCACTCAGACCCCTCCCCCCTCCCTTTGTGGGCACCAACACAACTACCCCCGTACTTTGTGACATACCTAACCTCCCCTCCGTGAGCATGCAATTTAATACATCAACCAAACAATGCTTAATACTTCACCAATGCGCCCTGTAAAAATAATTCGAAATGCCATCTATACCTGGTGCCTTTCCTTTACTCATACTAACAATCGCCTCCTCTACCTCCTCCACTCGAATTATACCTTCTAGTACCATTCTATCTCTGTCACTTAAAACTTTTCTGAAATCCCTTCCCACCAGGCCACCCGCATGGACCCTCCCTACTCCCCGCCGTAGCTTTTCCCCAAACCATAGATCAGCATAAAAACTCATGCTGTCCGTGGTGAGGAGTACTTGACCCGGCAGGTAACCACCCAAACCCGTGCATACTTCCAATTGCAAGAGGGACGTCGCCTGTTGTCTGACCCTAAATTTGCGCAAGACACAACCCGAAGGTTTGTCACCCCATAGGACTTCTTCCATACCTGCTCTGACTCTAACCGCATTGATACGTTCATTGTGAATTTCTGCAAGTCGACTACGAAGATGTTCAATGTCGTCATACCTACTACTCCCGCCCCCACATAGTAATCATTTAGCTGCCCCTCCAGATAGTTTAGCAGCCCATACCTCCACCTCGCCTCCTCTTTTCCCCGCTTCTCATAATAACTCGCTATTCCGGGTTTGGCACACGTTTCCCACAATTCCAACAAACATTCACCTGCCCGTCACGTTTCCCAGAGATTCTTCCACCAGTCCTGAAAAGCGGACCCATCCCCCTTCCCCTCCAATAGCTGCACGTTTAGTTTCCAATAACCTGGATAAACCCTGATCATTCCATCCCAGTCCAAGTCCGCTAGCACTGCACGGTGATCTGAAAACCCCACATCAAAGGTCTGTACGCGCCCAACTCTAATTCCTTGTGTTACATAAAGTCTATCCAGACAGGCCGCATAGCCCCTGGGAACGAACGTATGCTCCACCCCCCACCCACCCCGACCCACCACATCATAAACCCCTGCATCCCCCAGCAGATTCCGAAAGACAGGTAAAACGCACCCCGCCCCCCTCGGCTCAACATCGTCATGGCGGATAACGCAATTCCAATCCCCACCCATGACGGTAATGAACGGCAAACCCCGAGTGTAAAACGTTAAAGCCTCCCTCACAAATTCTATTTTAACTTTAGTGTTGCTTTCCGCAGGCATGTAAACGCCAATAAAACAAACCCTCACCTCACCCCAGTACGCATCTTCCCTCACCACCCTCCCACCTCCCCCCTCCTCCCATCTCAAGACACGCCAAGGGCTGGACTCCTTCACCGCTATCGCTACCCCCCCCCCTTTAATTTTAAAGAACTGCTAACAAACATTCGATAGCCTTTTAACCGTAACTCTCGCCCAAACTTATAATTGTGTTCTTGTATGAAACATACGTCCACAGCGTACCTGCGCAAGAACCACTCCATCCACACACACTTAAACTCTGCCCGCAGGCCATTTACATTGATGGTAACACACTTGAATTCACAAAAGGAGGTTTTCCTCTATGTTTGTGGGTCTTTCTTTGACCTTTGACTTCCCAAGGCCCCCTTCACCCCCCCGTGCCCTACCCATATGCTGGGCGCTTGCCACAACCCCATCTTCAAGAGGCGCCTAGCCACTTTCGACCATAATTTCTTCCCTGGACGCTGTCCCGGTGTCAGGACCTCGTCCATCTCTGACACTCCTGCCGTCCGTTTGCGGGAACCACCTTCCACACACATCTCCTCACCAGACGAAGCCTCCTGGTGGACTTCCACCACCACCTCATGCAGCCGTGTCATTGTAGACACGTCCAGGTCTCCCATATTTGGCGAATCATCCTTCACCACTTCTTGACACTCCGGTGTAACGTCTGGGCTATGCTCTGCCCCATCCAGGAGATCGTTTAGCACGTTCTCCAGCAAACTTTCCGGTGACAACTCCACAGGCTCCGTAGGCCCCACAGGTGGCGTGGGCACGTTTGTAGTGTCCACCGACAGGGTGGCACACGCCATAGACCGCGTCTCCTCTTGTTGTACTTCCTCACTCCAAAGCTTAGGTCCTTGTCCAGGTGAGGGACCAGTCCCCAGATCAAAGGCCTCGGTTCTTAGGGCCACAGGAGAAGGTTCCCGGATGCGTGCAACCAGGCGTCTGGAGTACTGAGCAGCCATATGGTCATATGAGCTGCATAACCTGCATGTCTTCCGTTGGCCTGCATAGTGAACAAAAACTTGGGTCCTGTAGTGTTCCAGATGAACGTAAGATGGAATCGGCTGTTTTAATGTCAGCTTGAGAGTGCAGGAGCCTTCCGGGAGCCCCTCGTATGGGCCCTCCCTCCACACTCCCTTGGTCGCTGCATGTACCGTGCCGTATCTACCAAAAACTTTCCGAATAACATACTCCTCCGCCTCGAAAGGCACGTTCCTTACTTTGACCCAGGTGACGTATGTGGAGACGTCATGCAGGCATACCTCTACGGCTAAATTCACCGCCATTTTCCTCTCTTGAAAAGCTTCCACAATCTTAGAGTAAAAGCCGGCATTTGCGAATTTTACAAAAAACCTCGACATCCCATTGAGAGCCACACCATATAATTCCTCAGTGGGGATGCCGTAGACGTCGCGAATAATGGTAGGCATCAAGACATGCATCGTTGCACCACTGAGAGAGCCGCGAATGAATTCAACACAGACCGTGTTTACTCTTCTACCCTGACGATCCGCCATCTTGAGTACTGTAGTACACGGTTCGCCACCAGGTGTAAGCAGGAGCAGGCTCAGAAAGCGTCCTCTCAGCCCGCAGGTTGAGAGACGAATCTGGGAATGACCACCTTCATAACTGGACTGGGGACCCTCATCCTCAGAGAAGACAATAAACGTACCTCAGAGAAAACTCAAGGTTCTCCCCGGAGCTGTTTGAATATTTTCTTCTCCTACCACCCCCTATAGTTTATATTCTATGTGAACATTTATTAATAAACAGAATACATATATATATATATATATATATATATATATATATATATATATATATATATATATATATATATATATATATATATATATATATATATATATAATATATATTATATAATATATTATAAATATCATATATATATATTATATATATACTATATATATATATATATATATATATACATATATAAAGTATTATATATATAGTATATATATATATATATATATATATATATATATATATATATTATATATTATATATATATATATATTATAATAATATATATATACCTGATGATCAGTTGGAGTGTGAGCAGGGTAATATTTAGTGAAGGGATTCAGGGAAACCGGTTATTTTCATATAGTCGGACTTGAGTCCTGGAAATGGGAAGTACAATGCCTGCACTCTAAAGGAGGGTTTTGGGATATTTGGGAGTTTGGAGGGATGTGTTGTGTATCTTTATATGTTTATGCTTCTAAACTGTTGTATTCTGAGCACCTCTGCAAAAACAGTGATAATGTGCGAGTGTGGTGAAAGTGTTAAATGATGATGAAAGTATTTTCTTTTTTTGGCATTTTCTTTTTTTTTGGGTCACCTGCCTCGGTGGGAGACGGCCCGACTTGTTGAAATATTATATTATATATATATTATATATAGTATATATATATATTATATATAAATATTTTATTTATATATATATATATATATATAATGTATAAAGCCACGGGGAGCACCGTGCTTGTCCTGCATAGTTAAGACCCCGTCTGCGATTGAATATATATATATATATATAATATATATATATCTATAATTATATTATATTATATAAAATATATAGTTATATATATATATATGCAAGGATTCGCGAGAGCAGGCGAAATATACACAAACATGATCTCTGGCTGAAGGAGACTCGAACCTTGTCCTAAGGTTCGTAGTTCGAGTCTCCTTCAGCCAGAGATCATGTTTGTGTGTGATATATATATATATATATATATATATATATTATATATAGTATATATAATATATATATATATATTCCTTGACATCTACTGTACGCTTGTTTGTTTATGCTGTACGAAACAGAGGAGTTCGTTATATGAAAAAGATTAGTGTAATCACGTATCATACACAATAATCTCAGGAATTTCTTTTCGTCTTTCTGCAGTCTGTATTTTTTCCAGGTCCGTACTGCCCTTACCCATATACACAGGTCCTGGACGAGTGCTTCTACCTGAGTACACATAAATTGACCATGGAGAAGGACGCCAACACTGCCAGGGAATGATGGGAGACTTGGCTACTCCCAAACACCCCTATGCTCTCAAGTCTTTCATCATAAACAAAAATAGTTGGTATAAAAGGATTTATATTTGTGGTCCTTTTAATATTTTCTTCCTAAAGTGAGAGTCTGTTGTCAGGTGGTCGTAGTTACCCGCAGATAGAGGGTACAACTTCGCTTTCTTTCAAAAGTCGTCAAGTGTTATAAAGCAAGCCTATTAAAGTGTTATGCCATGTAGATGTAATTACTGAACACACAAATGTTATTTCTCACTATTATATGTTACTGCCATAATAAGTAAGCTTACATGTGTGAAACTGCAGGGTTGAATTGTCTCTGACATCCTGTTCATATTACTTGTTTATGAGACAGGCACCTATGGCACCTTCTCCTGGTATACTCCAGGTATGCTATTAACAAGAGATTGATTGAGGATACGTTTCTCCCTGGTGGGCGAAACGTATCATCCTTAGTTGTTGTAACCAGCATTAGGACTGAGTGTAACATGCTTAAGAATGGGGCCAGACACAGTCATCAACAAATTGTTGACAAAGAATACTGGGAACATAAAGTTATTCTTTCGAATATAATATTGGCTTCTCAAACACAACTTGAAAAATCTGTAGATGTGTGGCGAAACGTTTCCTCAATAAAGATACCCAAGAGTTGCACATGTGTCTAATTTATCAACTTGAAAAATCATTGATCCCTCAACGTAAGTTTCTTGACTCCATTGGAAGGCTCCTGATCCAATAAACTGGACCTGACCTCCCCTCCCTTTTATCGACCCTAATTGACTTCCATTCCCCGAGCCTCTGTAGGAACTTTAACATGTTTACCACTTCACGCTGAATATAGTAATAATAAATAAAAACAAATGATATAAAAGACTTAGCAAACGAATTTGAAGGAAGCAGAGGGCAGGTCAAAACTAGTCGATCTATTATAGTATATCATAAATGGAAAGTAGAAATGGTTGAGAGATCCAACAGGACGATGAACTAGACACATCACTTGGGTATCTTTATTGCGGATGCCGTTTCGTCAACCAGTGGTTTCCTCAGTCTAATATAGAGAAGAATGGTTGAAGATCAAAAGGAGTTTGAGGTACTCAGTCCCTCAGCCGGAATCGATGTGATCAGTCCATCAGTCTTGATAAGAGTACAGCATCTGTGTGGCGAAGGAGCTTATGTACTGTGCACAGGTGAAGTGAAGCAGTCGTAGGCGATGTCGCCTTCGACAAAGGCACAGGAGGAAGTCATGTCTATAGATAAGGCAAGCGTAGAATTCCTTGTATCAAGATCCCAAGATGTTGCTGTGTCTGACAGGAATCTATATTAATTATACCCACGTGTTAAACTAGTGTCTAATTCATCATAATAAAAGGAATTAAGTAAAACATTTCTGTGGAGAAAGTTACAGAATCAGTAGACTGTATGACGGTGTCACTGCCAGGGTATGGCTATATGACGGTGTCACTGCCAGGGTATGGCTATATGACGGAGTCACTGCCAGGGTATGGCTATATGACGGTGTCACTACCAGGGTATGGCTATATGACGGTGTCACTGCCAGGGTATGGCTATATGACGGTGTCACTGCCAGGGTATGGCTATATGACGGTGTCACTGCCAGGGTATGGCTATATGACGGTGTCACTGCCAGGGTATGGCTATATGACGGTGTCACTGCCAGGTATGGCTATATGACGGTGTCACTGCAAGGTATGGCTAATATGACGGTGTCACTGCCAGGGTATGGCTATATGACGGTGTCACTGCCAAGGTATGGCTATATGACGGTATCACTGCCAGGGTATGGCTATATGACGGTGTCACTGCCAAGGGTATGGCTATATGACGTGATCACTGCCAAGGTATGGCTATATGACGGTATCACTTGCCAGGGTATGGCTATATGACGATGTTCACTGCCAGGTATGGCTATATGACGGTCACTGCCAAGGTATGGCTATATGACGATGTCACTGCCAAGGTATGGCTTAAATATCTATGGAGTTCAATTATTATGGAGATATCAACCACAAATATAATATAATGAACAGAGATGGATTCCAAACGTATAATAATAACTGCAGCGTTCCAACGCTACCCAGTCAAAAACACATCCAGACACTCACACAGGAACGTAAACACTTCATTGTTAATAACTGAATATCTGAAATCTGTGAGTTTATCTAACTTTGCAGTGGCAACAGGATGAAATGTTATTAATGAGTCGAACGCAAAAGTTACGAAACGTTTTGATTATAAAGGTAAAACTATTTATGATGAAATGATGGTGTTTGTGTAAATGAGTGGATATGTGAGTGTATGGTTTGTGATTATAATAGTGTAGATGAGTGTGTGTTGATGAATGAGAGATGTTTGTGGTGTATTGTGTGTGTATGTGTGTGTGTGTGTGTGGTGTGGTGTGTGTGTGTGTGTGTGGTGTGTGTGTGTGTGCGTGTGTGTGTGTGTGAGTGAGAGTGCGTGTGTTTGCTTGGATGCTCGTGGGTTTGCGTGCGTGTGTGTGCGAATGCATGCGGCGTCATGAAAATATACACATTTGGGTATGCGATTAAGTATGAAGCCTCACATATATATTGCCAGTCCAGGATTATCATTAATGAAACCCTCTTATCCTGCGGAACACAGGAAACACCCTTGTGTACGTGGGCGCCACAGGGTTCGTGGGCGGCAGAAACGCCAAGGAAAACCGTCCGTTTAAGTGGCTGGACGGGAGGCACATCGCCACTAGCGACTGGGCGAGTACCGAACCCAACAACCACGATGGATCAGAATATTGTGTTGCCCTCAACCATCAACTTCACCCGCCACTTCTCGATCTTCCCTGTTCCAGGCATGAACAATTCGCTTGTCAGTATTACAAATGAGTCACAGAAGGGTGTATATATATATATAAATATATATATATATATATATATATATATATAATATATAATATATATATTTATATATATATATATATATATATATATATATATATATGCAAAACAACCACTCTGAAAGAATAGAGAAATTCCAAGCGCTTTCGTGACTACTCACATTATCAAGTGAGTTGTCACGAAGCGCTTGGAATTTCTCTATTCTTTCAGAGTGGTTGTTTTTGCATATTCTAAAATCACCTGTTTACTGTGATCTTATTGCATATATATATATATATATATATATATATATATATATATATATATATATATATATATATATATATATATATATATATATATATATATATATATGTCGTGCCGAATAGGCAGAACTTGCCATCTTGGCTTAAATAGCAACGCTCCTCTTGCCGTATAGGACAAGTGAAAATTTGTGTATGCAACAATTTCGCCAAAATCATTCTGAACCTAACGAAAAAAATATATTTGATTGTGTTTGTTTAGTACTAAATTATTGTAAACGTATTTAAAATATATTTAGTTGGGTTAGGCTAAAATAAATTGCTCTTGTTATAATAAGGTTAGGTAAGTTTTCTAAGATGCTTTTGGTGCAAAATTAAATTTTTTTAAATTAACATTAATGAAAAAAATATATCTTTAAACGTATAAGAAAAAACTTCAGAAAGAACTTAATTTTAAATGTGTTCTTGCTAATTGACCAGTTTTACATATTCGGCACGACATATATATATATGCAAGGAATTCGCGAGAGCAGGCGAAATATACACAAACACTGATCTCTGGCTGAAGGAGACTCGAACCTACGAACCTTAGGACAAGGTTCGTGTAGCGCAAGCTACACGCCAAGGTATTGTCCAGTGTGGGTAGATTGGTAAAGCACTGCGTACCTTGTCCTAAGGTTCGTAGGTTCGAGTCTCCTTCAGCCAGAGATCAGTGTTTGTGTATATTTCGCCTGCTCTCGCGAATTCCTTGCATTGTTAAATTCTCTAGTAAGGCTGATGCATGCAGGGGATGAGATGAAAAGCTGTAAGCCTTCTCCCTGAAAGCTGGCTGCCTTGGATCAAACGTGTAGCGCAAGCTACACGCCAAGGTATTGTCCAGTCTGGGTAGATTGGTAAAGCACTGCGTACCTGTGTACCTGCGTGCTGTGGCTGACATCCTTGTCTATGTCAGATATGAGGATGAGAAACAAGATGGGAGCGAGTATTATGCCTTGTGGAACAGAGCTTTTCACCGTAGCCGCCTCAGACTTTACTCTGTTGACTACTACTCTTTGTGTTCTGTTTGTGAGGAAATTATAGATCCATCTACCAACTTTTCCTGTAATTCCTTTAGCACGCATTTTGTGCGCTATTACTCCATGGTCACACTTGTCGAAGGCTTTTGCAAAGTCTGTATATATTACCTCTGCATTCTTTTTGTCTTCTAGTGCATCTAGGACCTTGTCGTAGTGATCCAGTAGTTAGGACAGACAGGAGCGACCTGCTCTAAACCCATGTTGCCCTGTTGTGTGTGTGTGTGTGTGTGCGTGTGTGTTTGCGTGTGTGTGTGTGTGTGTGTGTGTGTGTGTGTGTGTGTGTGTGTGTGTGTGTGTGTGTTGGTGTGTGGTGTTGTGTGTGTACTGTGTGTGTGTGTGTGTGTGTATGTGTGTGTGTGTCGTGCCGAATAGGTAAATTTGGTCAATTAGCAAGAATTCATTTAAAATTAAGTCCTAAAATTTTCTCTGATACATTTAAGGATTTTTTTTCACTTAAGCTATTGTAAAAATGAATAATTTTGTACTAAAAGAACCTTAGAAAACTTACCTAACCTTATTATAACAGGCGTAATTTAGGTTAGCCTAATCCCTCTAAATACATTTTGGATAAGTTTACAGTAATTTAAAAATAAACAAACACAATTAAATATATTTTTTTTCGTTAGGCTCAGAATGATTTTTGAGAAATTATTGTATTCACAAATTTTCCTTTGCCTTATTCGGCAAGAAAAGCGTTTCTATTTAAACCAAAATAGCAAGTTTTACCTATTGGGCATGATATATACATACCAAGAAATGAATACGTCTCTGGGATATACGCACTGAGAGATGTATACATCTCATATTTACATCTTTCGGTGTATATATATTTCATATATTCCAATCTCATGGATTAACGTATCCTGGATTCTTATTTCTTAGTATATTGTGGCTTTAAGAACTATTGAAGAGGGCGTTGGTACGTCGAATTAAGCTTTATGCTGATTTAAGTCAGAGGTATACCTGGAGTATCCCTGGAGGGTGTTTCTAGGATCAACGCCTCTGCGGCCCTGTCCATGACCAGGCCATTTGGTAAAATAAAAATTGATGCACAGAAAAAATGAGAGAAAAAAATAAACAGCTCTTAGTCTGTAAAACGAATGTTGTTAAAAATATAGAAAGGATGTATATTTATTCTGTTGCACACGTGTCTAATTTATCAAGACAATAATTTCAAGAATACTTTAATTCCTAAGAAATTGGTTAAGTACGTTCCTTGAACATATATTGAAATACACCTTCATGTAAATGAACTCTGTGAAGCTTAAGACCTACTGACTGAACGAGGGTCATTAAGCCCGTAATTAACCTAAAAGTAATTACAAGAAGAATGCTGGAGGCTTCGGTAAAGGGTCGTATCCCGCACCTTAGAATTATTATGCAAAATACCTAATATACGTATAAAAATAAATAAGAAATGTTGATATGTTATGATAAAGCAAAACTACAGTATCATTCAGTAGAATAAGACCTCCATACTACTAAAATAGACCTATAAACCTAACTTTTAAGTTACTGTTAACTGACTGTGTTTAACTTTAGTCTATGGGACTCATTCAAGTTTCTTCAATCTCTGTTTTGTAATGAAATGCTAAAAGATACATTTTTGTTATAATCAGTATATAAACACTAAACATTAAAAGTGAGAAACATACAACCGATTTTTTTTATTAATATTCCGCAGAAAAGCATTCACATTGTGGTTTGATTTTTTATTTTACATCAAGGTGTCAATAAAAAAAAGTCTCATCTGAACTTCTGTATCTCCATCCAGTCTCACATAAAGTATTTTTAAATCCATAAATACAAGATATAGCTCCTTACTTTCATCTATGAATTGGTCATTTACCTCTTTTAACATAAACAATTGGTCACGTGACTCCGATCAGCTGTGTCTACGCTGACAGGCAAACACGCAGTTTTCTCTGAATAATTAATTTATTTATGTCACTTCAAGGATGGAAGAGTATATGGAGAAAAAGAGAGAGGTTAAGAGAGTGGTGAAGCAATGTAAAAAGAGAGCAAATGAGAGAGTGGGTGAGATGTTATCAACAAATTTTGTTGAAAATAAGAAAAAGTTTTGGAGTGAGATTAACAAGTTAAGAAAGCCTAGAGAACAAATGGATTTGTCAGTTAAAAATAGGAGAGGAGAGTTATTAAATGGAGAGTTAGAGGTATTGGGAAGATGGAGGGAATATTTTGAGGAATTGTTAAATGTTGATGAAGATAGGGAAGCTATGATTTCGTGTACAGGACAAGGAGGAATAACATCTTGTAGGAGTGAGGAAGAGCCAGTTGTGAGTGTGGGGGAAGTTCGTGAGGCAGTAGGTAAAATGAAAGGGGTAAGGCAGCCGGGATTGATGGGATAAAGATAGAAATGTTAAAAGCAGGTGGGATATAGTTTTGGAGTGGTTGGTGCAATTATTTAATAAATGTATGGAAGAGGGTAAGGTACCTAGGGATTGGCAGAGAGCATGCATAGTTCCTTTGTATAAAGGCAAAGGGGATAAAAGAGAGTGCAAAAATTATAGGGGGATAAGTCTGTTGAGTATACCTGGCAAAGTGTATGGTAGAGTTATTATTGAAAGAATTAAGAGTAAGACGGAGAATAGGATAGCAGATGAACAAGGAGGCTTTAGGAAAGGTAGGGGGTGTGTGGACCAGGTGTTTACAGTGAAACATATAAGTGAACAGTATTTAGATAAGGCTAAAGAGGTCTTTGTGGCATTTATGGATTTGGAAAAGGCGTATGACAGGGTGGATAGGGGGGCAATGTGGCAGATGTTGCAGGTGTATGGTGTAGGAGGTAGATTATGAAAGCAGTGAAGAGTTTTTACGAGGATAGTGAGGCTCAAGTTAGAGTATGTAGGAAAGAGGGAAATTATTTCCCAGTAAAAGTAGGCCTTAGACAAGGATGTGTGATGTAACCGTGGTTGTTTAATATATTTATAGATGGGGTTGTAAGAGAAGTAAATGCGAGGGTCTTGCAAGAGGCGTGGAGTTAAAAGATAAAGAATCACACATAACGTGGGAGTTGTCACAGTTGCTCTTTGCTGATGACACTGTGCTCTTGGGAGATTCTGAAGAGAAGTTGCAGAGATTGGTGGATGAATTTGGTAGGGTGTGCAAAAGAAGAAAATTGAAAGTGAATACAGGAAAGAGTAAGGATATGAGGATAACAAAAAGATTAGGTGATGAAAGATTGGATATCAGATTGGAGGGAGAGAGTATGGAGGAGGTGAATGTATTCAGATATTTGGGAGTGGACGTGTCAGCGGATGGGTCTATGAAAGATGAGGTGAATCATAGAATTGATGAGGGGAAAAGGGTGAGTGGTGCACTTAGGAGTCTCTGGAGACAAAGAACTTTGTCCTTGGAGGCAAAGAGGGGAATGTATGAGATTATAGTTTTACCAACGCTCTTATATGGGTGTGAAGCATGGGTGATGAATGTTGCAGCGAGAAGGCTGGAGGCAGTGGAGATGTCATGTCTGAGAGCAATGTGTGGTGTGAATATAATACAGAGAATTCGTAGTTTGGAAGTTAGGAGGAGGTGCGGGATTACCAAAACTGTTGTCCAGAGGGCTGAGGAAGGGTTGTTGAGGTGGTTCGGACATGTGGAGAGAATGGAGCGAAA